AGCGATTTAGCATGCTTACAAACTAATTTAAATATTTTTGAATATTTGGAGACATGCCTACGAAAAGCCTCACTTTTATTAAATGGTTTCATGCCATATAGCTCAAATAACTTTTCTCTACTTATACGAATGCCTGGTGTAGCCCAGTCACAGAATAAAAATTTACACTGGATATTTTTACGTTTTAAAGGGAACATTTTGTCGAACTGTATTTTTATAATGGATAATAAGTTAGCATAGATCTCACTCGGGCATTCATTGTCTTGTAATGGGCTGCATAATTTATGTTTTAAATTGTTATTTAATGACTCAATTTTTTTGTTTGTTATCTGTCTGAATATAATTTCCTTAGTTGCCACAGTTTTAAAAGTATTAAAGTTGACTGTTAGCCCACTGTGATCAGATGGTAATCTGTTTACAATTTCATTATGTAAATAATCACAGTTACAAAAAATATTATCTATACAAGTTGCCGAGGTGGATGTTACACGGGTAGGCTCAAGGAATATATTAGACAGATCAAAAGATTTAAAAAGACCTAATAAGTTTGTACAATAAAAGTTGTTTTCTAAGAGATCAACATTAAAATCGCCACATACTATTGTATACTTATTACTAGAACACGTTTTCTGTAATACATCTTCCATTACTGAGCAAAATATATTTAAATTCTGTATGTTAGGAGGCCTATAAACACATACTACAATATGCCTATCCAGTTCAACACAGGACAACTCTATTGAGTGCTCAATTGATAGCAGTGCAATGTCTTGCCTTTCTTTATATTTTATTGAATTCTTTACTAAAATCAAGCTACCACCATGTATCATTTCTTTGCGGCTATAATAGTTGCCAACACAATAATTATTGAAGTTAATTGATTCTACTTGATAATCTTTTAACCAATGTTCAGTTACACAAATAATGTCATATTGGAACTTTTCTAAAAACAATTCAATTTGTAGGATTTTTGATGCTAAGCCCTGAACATTTTGACTATACAATGACAACAGGTTATCTGTTTTATTTTTCAATTTAAGTTTATGCTTAATAATATTGCCAGAAGAAACCTTTTCAATGATTGGGGTTTTTGAGTAATTTAATTGGTTATCTTCTGTTGTCGTGGTCGTCGGAATGTTTCAAATTTAGCTGGATACTCTGGCAATTTTTTGCTATAGATTGATGAGATAACGCTTTCGTCCCAATCATGTTGGTGGACGGCAAGCAAAAACCGTGCGTTTTTACCAATTCAATGAAAGAGCTAATGTACTCCTTAACATCACGGCGACGTACTTGTGGCTCCCCTGGTGTTATCAGGGTCGGTTATTCAGGATCGGCGCTGATCAATCAATTGACAAGTCGGCGCGTTTGACTTTCATTTCAACATAAGATAAGTATTTTATCTTTGTAAGTACCTAATACTTTGAAGTCCATAAATACTGCTTTGCAAACTTAAATCGGTAAAGGTGTTGTTTATTTTTGGTTTGAACAATTAGGTCACAAGTACAGCTAAGTATTAATAAAATTACATTATACCTTTAAGAAACACACATTATCTTCCATAACCATCCCGTACACTATGTAAGATAACACAATAGCAACATTCCACTCAGCACAATCTTATTACGAAAGAGGCGAAGAGAAATAAATGCAGCTTCTCACAAAGTTTTTAAAGCAAAGAGCTTACCGCACAATGCAATTTCATTAAGAAACCATAAGACTCTTACATTAGTAGTCCTCAAAGCATTTCCACGCACTCACCGTTATTAAATACCTAATGCAAATTAATAACTTAGTCCGTCGCAAAAAATGTCAAAAATCACAGACATTTGAAAACGTAGACATCAAATGCCAAGGGTGGAATTAATTTGCCTCTGGTCTCGTCAAAGGGACGACATAGCGTTAGCTGAAAGGTAAATAAACGGGAAGTATGGAGCTTGAAATACAAGCTTACTCCTTTGAGAACCTGCAGTGTCATTAAGTAGAGAGACTTTAAAAAAAATAAAAGCCGATGGTATTTACAATATTGGAAGTTTACTGAATAACGTCGGGAATGAGCTGCCGTACTGCATTTATCACGAAGTTTGTAAGTAAAATCTGTTTGTTCTCGTTTCTCTAACTTCCTTTGATATCCGAGAGCCGGTAGGTAGACTTGCTCGTTGTATGTTTACTCTAGTTCCGTGATATTTTAAGCATCGGACACTTCGACGTCTCTCCTGTTAATGAATTCAGAACTGCAAGTATCGTTCACAAAAAAATAAGATTTCAAATTTTGTTGAGTAATTAAAGTAGTTCTAATATCTCTTTTCGACAAATTTAAACACATACCTTAAACGCTCGATGAGTCCTTTGCATAGAGAGCACCAAATATTAAAAAAAATACGGTTTCCTATTAATTTCTTAGAAAGTAGAAGTAGTTTTCTATACAAACGAAACTCAACATTTAAATTAACTAAATTAATGAGATTATTTTTATTTTACTCTAGCTTTTAACGCGACTTCCTACGTGTTAAATTTAGAATTCCATTTGTTCTGTTTTAAGAAGTATGTAAAGATCAAATTATTCTTGTTATTTTTAAACACTGTATTATATTGAGGTTGTAAGTCCATTGCAATATTATCGGCTTTTGCGGTCTATCCGTACGTTGCTATCAGATCTGTCCCTAGTTTAAGACTAGGTTTAATTCGTAAAGCTGCTTTTGAAACACGAACAAGGCTCCTGTTCTGGAACGCGATCTTTCCCGGTCCGTCTTAGTACCTTTACTCGTAATAGACGTTTGAAGGCACTACAGAAATTAGTTTCAAACTACTTGAAGGCATCTCATAATTGCTTGCTTTTACATTACATTTATAATTTATTCCATATTTGAATTTAAATTTTGATCTCATAGATATTAGTTTTTTTATTTTAAATAATTGTTATAGGTTATACCTAATCGTAAACAGTATGTATTTAATAGTAATAATAAGTAAAATACTAAATAGTTTACGACTCATGAGTATTTAATATAAGTTATTATTATTATTTAAGAATTAATTTTGGTCATTTGGTTACGTGTCAGTTTTTTTATTGTTAAATTATCATAGAAAATTTTGTAGTACCTATTACTTACTCATATAATATACTTAAAATATTTTTTATAATAAAAACCTACTTTTTAATTAATCTAGAAAATAAATCTTCTTTAGAAACATATTATTAGGATTAATGATCAATGTAAAGACGTATCTAGATTTTTATAGTTATTGCTTATTCTGATGAATTTTCGCTATAGTAGGTATATACCTATAGGCAACGGTAATGTTTGCGTATATATACAGGCAATCAGGTATAGCACAGAATCGTAATTATGTAGATGTGGCTACATACAATTAGACACATCAAAGGATTCAATGGATGCTAGCTATGTGCCTACTTATTGCTTGAGCTGAGGTATGTTAACAAAGGCTATTGTACGTACTTGACGAACGCATGCCCGAAGCCAAATACCAGCCTAATATCTTAATACCTACATATTTCAGTAGTTAATAATAATATGTTACTAGATTGCATATAGTTATGGAAGTGAAAAAGAAAATAAGATAAAAAAATCAAACTTAAAATCTCATAATTATAGACAATGATATTTTGAGGCATTTCTCTCTTCGTGGGCGCTGACAACGATAAATGTGCTACATTTTTTTAATAACACAAAAACACATTGAAACATTATTTTTTATAAGAATAACAATACCTAGCAATTTTCAACTTCATCGTTAACAAACATGTAAAGAGATTATCAGGATAGGCATGGGTATGAAAAAAGCGGGCATACATAATATCTTTTCAATGTCCACTACATTGAAAAAAACAAAGCGTAGTTAGCCCATGGTATCACATGCCCCTGGCGATTTGCCCATGGCGTTTCTACTGAATATTTCGTCAAATGACAAACGCAATCCGGCTATTTCCCGCATCGTATTGTGCAGCCCTCACTCACACAATAAAAACAATGAACAAAGAACGCAAATTGCATTCAATTATTGACTGTCTGTTATTGGGATTTGAATGGCAGGAGTAATTTCCGTTGTTGCTGCGTGTAACCCCGATGAGCACTTTTACCTTTTTTGAGGGAAATCATCCGATAACTCCTCCCGCCCTAGGTGCAGAGAGGGAGTGTCAGTTTCAACTGACCATCAAGTACCCCTTTCCTGTTCCCAAGCCAGCAATGCCAGCCGAACGATATTACTTATTGATATAATAAAATAAGTAACATTTTTTGATAAAAATCACGGCCTGTGACTAGCGTAGCGTATAGTAATGAAGCCTCTAAACCTAAACCGCTGACAAAACCGACTCAAACATTAAACATTTTCTGGATAACATTCAACCTTTGTATTCTGCGTGACATTTCGACAAAGCTTAACTTATAGATCTGAAGAACAAAACTGTCTTACTTCTTGACGTTGTCATTCTAGGATAACCATGACAGTCGATAAGGGTAAACATTGAATGTCGTATCATCTACAAAACAAAGCCGGATGACAGACAGTGCACGTCGTACCGACGCGTGACGTCAGCAACTACGGCAATAGTGATGTCCTCGACGTCCAACGGAATTTAATTAAAACACTTCAAAAGGGAAGCAAACAGGAAGACAGGCTTTTGTATAGATGAACGTGAACAACAATTCGTTTGTGATGGACGTACGTGTAGATGTAGATAGGTCGCGAAGCGTTGCAGTCAATGCATGTATGAATGATCGTGCGGCGAGCGAAGCACCGAATTCCTGACAGGTTTTAATTAATGACTGCGCTGCAGCTTGATGAGGACATCCCTATAATTCAGCAATAAAAAGAATTTAATAAACACGCGTAAAGCAATCAGATGAAAATTTTTGGTTTCTATAGTCTTTTTTGAATGTCGCATGTTCTATCAGGGACTGTACTAATAGATGTCAAGTTTACACTTGAAGGTCGTCTAGTTTTCCACGGTTCCTACAGCGCATATTCTGTTGCAGGAGGTTGTGCTAAAAGAGGACACAATACAGATGGAGAGATTTGAGGAGGTGCCCTTCTCATTGAACTTCACTGTGAAGATCTTCAACATCACCAACCCTCAAGCTGTACTGAACGGCGGCGTGCCATTCGTCACTGAAGTTGGACCATACGTCTATAGGTATGCGAATTCTGAAATCTTTAAAAAAATATTAAGTATATGTACAATTGGGTAGTTTCCTATATCAAAAATAAATTAATTCGACGTTTTAATACGATAAAATATTGAAAAATAACTATACTTTTATTCATCGATCTGTCAATACACCAAATTTTCGATTTTATTTAACTATTTTTTAAACAAATAAGTAAGCTATTTGAAGCAATAATACTTCGACGTTATAATTTGGAGTTTCATACACATTTCATAGAAAAATATAGTTTTTGACATTTGGATAAAAGTATTGAATTAGACTAGTTGGAAACTACCGTATTGTTTCTTTACTGTATTTAAAAAAGGGTCAATAAATGGACTGCACATTTGACACAGGCCGGGTAACAGCACTGTAATAGCCAAATAATTATGGATAATGAGGTAAACACCTTCTAAATAGAACATGTTCTTGGTCAATATATATTTATTTTAATAAACAGTGGTTAGATTGCCTATTACAACCTCATAGATACACCACGAGCTTGCCAATCTACAAGTTCAAAGCCATCATAATCGATCCGCATTGTCGATGCAGGATTAACTAGTCAGCGCATATTGGCAATCTCACCAGCAAGGACCAGCGGCTTGTTACATTATTTATTTGTCTTGCATGAGGGAAAAATGGTCGTTCGAAATTCAAAAATCTATCCATCTATTTTTAACTTTACTAAAATATAATTACTGTGTTGTCTAGTTTGAACGATTTAAAACATTAATGTTATATCAAAGGCCGAATACCTATAATTAATTTAACTTGTAAACATTGGCCTTAAAACGGAACGTGGTGTTCAGTGTAATTTTAGTCTTCTCAACAAACAATATAATTTTATTTGGTCTATATAAATAGTTAGAAATCTAAAATGAAATATCACAAAAGACTTCCTTTTCAAAGTTGGTCTGTCAAAAGGCGTTTGAGGTAAGAATTGTTTTATCAAGGGAAGTCTAGCTTAGCCGAGTAATTTTTCTCGTGCCCGCAGCTTGAGTTTCAAGGAGCTCTATCGAGCCTGCAAGGCAGGACGGGATCAGGTTCTACCGTTATTTTATCATTCTGAGCGAGAAAGCAACAGAGTGCGTTATTTTAAAATAAAATGTAAAAGAGAAACGCAATGTGGAGGCGCGGGGTGGGCAGGGTGGTGGATGGATGGTAGCAGCCGCCCCGCGCCCCTCCACGCTGACGTACTCATCTAGCCACCCTTCCCACCCTCCACAACAGGGAGATTATTAAATTATTTTTCTAAAAATCTTGTGTATAAGGCCACAGGCCACTTTACTTGAGGACACAATATTGTTGAATAGAAGCATCTTAATTGCTTTGATAATAATCGGTTTACCAAGTGCTTCAGTCCGAAGGAATTTACTGTCTTGTTAGACGTGTCTGCTCAGTCATGTCTTAATTGAACTATCCGACGTGTGAAGACGGCGAGTGCTCGAGTGAGCACCGTGGCTTATGTACACGCCATGCGCACAGACATTTGATGGTTACTTATGTTTCAGGTTGTACCAGACTCGGGAGATTCTTGGTATTGACGGTGATATAATGAGGTACAAGAGACATGAACACTTCGTATTTGACCCCGTCCTCTCGTACCCGCGCACGGAAGAAGACATGCTGACTATCATCAACGTGCCTTATCATGTAAGTACCGCTTCTTATTCAATGCAACACTTGTGGTTCATTTGTTAATAATCATATCGGAGCAATTGCAGGTGGCCTGTGGCCAAATTCATTATGCTACGAATATATGTACTGTCACTGGCCAGAGCTCGGTGAAACAATAGCACCAAATCAATTATGTAGTCGCACTTAGGCATTGTTGCATGCCGGTCATTGTATGATTGTTGATTTAGTTTATGATATTGAATGTAAAAGTGTACTAATTTAATTTCGAACACTTCATAATTATACATATAATAACTAATGGAAAAGTGTGATATGTATGAAGTCTACGGAGCAAAGATCTTCTTAGTAATTCTGAGTTCATCAATGTGCATGAAGCTTAATGAGTCCTTTGTGCTGTTCACAGCAGCATAATAATTGGCACATAGTGTTGAATCATGCGTGCTCGTATTACATGTGGCTAGCATACGCTTGCGTCCAATTACGCTATCGAGTGAACTATGACATTATGTTTGTGTGTTTACGTACACCTGCGCTACCAAACGAAGCCAAAATGAAATGCAAGTGGGGAACGCCTACGCGCTTTAAATTGCTCTGCGATCTATATAGCACTGCGAATGTTTTATGTATACTCCTGCAAACTGTAAAATTGTCTTTCTTCCTTTGAATATTATTCTCATTTAATTAGTCTAAGTCTTTTATAATACTTTGCTGCGCGAGTAGAGTGCATTGAAGTGCAATTTCAAAGCAAAATGGACAGATAGCAAATGAAATAAAAATAAATAAAAAATATCAGTGTGCTTTTGAAGGAGGAAATGTCGTCATAACATGATTGGAACGAAGTGGACACTAAGCCGTCTCTCTGCCTCTCGATATTTATTCTTAGTTTACTTAACTAACGTTGGAAATGAAAAGTACAGTTCGCAGTTCGCATCTCTTTAATTTCTAAATTATTTCTTCTTCGAATTTCGAACCTCTGTATTCGAAAAACGTTACTTAAGTAATTTAATAATGTGTTTATCGATCGAGTCTAGTTGTGTTCCAAAAATATACTTTTGGTACATTTAAAATGAAGAATTATTACTTCTAAATATTCTTATAAAGGGTTTAATGTAGAATGAATAATGCTAATCTGCTTCTTAGCTTAGAGAGATAAGAAATGCCAACGTTATCCAGATTGTTTTTAAATTTAATGTTATCGTGTAAATAACCTGCCTTATGGTGTATTTGCAAAAATAAATTATCGTTTCATTACTAAAGTATTTTCAAATTCGAAATATTTCTATAACTTTAACCAAATTCTGTAATGATACTATTTACATTAAATTAGAATTAACAATTTGTTTTTAGACTATACAAATTAGTTTGAACTGACATTGAGCGCTAAAAAGAAATTTAAATAATTAAAACTATTAATTTATTTATCGATACCAGTCTAGTCGTGTTTCAAAAATAACGTACTCACACAGACTTAACAACAAAGTTTGCGAGACGTTAAGATACAAATCTATATTTGACTTTATAAATAGAAACAAAAGATTTAAATTCGTCTGACGTAAGATTTTCGTCTGTCGTCTCGGCGGAAGCTAATTTTGGTTCGGAGTTGTCTTTTGGTGGTGTAGAAATTTCCAAGCAACAGGTGGGGGGGTGATGTGAACTAGAGTAGATATTATATGAATTAATGTATGTACCTGATCAAGTTTGAAGAGTTTTACTAAGCCGATCAGACATTTGTCTTTGTTCTCGTTAAGGCTAATTTTTGAAGTCTATAGGTACATTTGATCATTTGAAATTTGTTTTGGTATATCCGTCAGATCGGCGAGGGGATGGGCCACCACCCCGGGCGCCAACTGTTAGGACGGAGAAACGTTTTCATGGTATAGAAAACGATTTTTTTAAGATTTAGTTTTCTTGTTTTGGTCTATTGTTATCAATTCATATACTAACATATTATTTAGTTAAACTTAAAAACTAGAATTTTCTCTCGTGTTAAGGATGCGTTAAAACAACGAAAAAAACATACATCTTCACATAAACATCACACCCAGACCTGGAACAATAACTAGTGGATCACACACACAAAGAGTTGTTCCGTGCGGGAATCGAACCCGTTGTGTGCAGCCGGTTGATCACCACTGCGTCAACCGTGTAGCAAAGATTGATTTTTGATTCAATTGATGTAAGTTACAGTTTACTTGGCTCGTTATTTTCCAGTGTTGAAGTAATTTCTTTGGATATCAATATTTTACCTGAATGAATATTATGTGTGTTGTAAGTTGTAACTAGTATGGCAAATGGGATTCGAGTTAGCAAGAATGGTACACGTAAATAATCGATTAATGTTGATTACAATTTTCTTTGTGTTATTACTTTAATGTACTTACCCACTTTTACGCATTTTCGAAATGTTACGATAAAATTGTCGATTGATTATTACAAATCATTGTCATTATCATCATTATCGTCATAGCCACACAAAAACATGTGTTACTTAACATTATGAACAGGTAAATTTTGTAAGTTTTTATGTAGGAGGTAATCTTTGGAAATGCTGGTCGGATTTTCAAACTTCTTCCAGAGATACATAGCTTCAATATTCCTGATTGCTACAGGCTATAAATTATATTTGATTTGCGTATTTTAGTAGAGCTATCGCTTTCGACGCTGCTGTTTTAAAAATCCCGGTATACATTACTTTAATACGCATGTGAAGCCGGGGGCGAAAACTTGTAAATCAAAAGTAAGGCGGACAAAAATATACTGAAGAACATAGGTACGCGTTTTGCGACTAAAATACCAAAATATTTTTATTGATAATATTTTACGCACGTAAGTAAATGATCTGACGATAACTCTATTTCGCTACTAGTATCATGTCAAAACGGGTCTCCTATTTAATCAGTCAACAGCGCTACGTGCGTCGGTCGCCGCAACGTACATTCGCCGTACGACAGTAAGGTTCCCGTTGCCACTTGAAACTAGTAGAGCTTTTCATAGTTTATTCGCGTGTGTAAAACGTAACTTTAAATAAATTTTGTAAGTCTCACAATAATTTATTTATATTAAAATTAAATTTTATACTCTTTTTGGCAATTAAATGAAATAGAATTATTTATATTTATTTATATATAGTACGGTCAGCTGCAGAGAAATGGACCCCCCCTGAAGTACAAATATGTATGCAGCTATCTGCATAGGGGGATCATTTTATCTGCAGCTGAGTGTACCAGCGGTCGTCTGCGGCTCCGCTCGCGTGGATGCCGACTGTACATTAATTCAAGATTGAAAAAAAAAAACTACGTACAAAGCTCTACCCTCAAATCCTCAGAACTTCCACGAATACTTCAAGACCAAAATTAGCCAAATCGGTAAAGGCATTTATAACATTATAACGAAAAATGGCATTGATTTACATATATAGATATGGATAGCAATTTGAAAAATCGTTGAATTTTCTATTCATATTATTCAACAGCATTTGAAAACATAGGTACCCATTGTAAAGTATATAGAAATAAATTGTTAGTTATATGTGTAATACATGAATGGATGGTAAAATATTTAAACAGTAGTTATCAGTATAAACATGATTACGAAGAGATTACTATTGCGTTATAAAGATAACATAATCTATATCTTTAGCAATTTCTTAATAGTGTTTACATCGATGTGTAGGTAGGTACCTAATATTATTTTGTATTTTATATCCAGACGAATATGTTTGAAAGCACTGCTTAAAGACAAATGGAAATAGAGCCGATATGAAATAATGTGTGTGTTGTAAATACGTAAAAAGCTATTCAAGGTAAGGAAGGATTGGGCCTCCGGTAACCTCTCTCTCTCTCTCTCTCTCTCTCTCTCTCTCTCTCTCTCTCTCTCTCTCTCTCTGTCTCTCTCACTCTCTCTCTCTCTCTCTCTCACACACACACACACACACACAAATCAGACGGTCACACGGTAAAATACTACGTAAGTTTTTTTCTTCACGTCGGTTTTCTGTGACGCCGTGGTCTCAATCCGGTCGAGCCGACCCATTAGTGCCCGAGCATGGCTATTTGAGTACCAGTTACTTTCCTTCTGAAAGTTTCAGTATTTGTGTCACTTACCCAAAACCTTCTTTCGCTCGGTATTGTTCGTTGGACAATCCAGCAACAACCGTTTATTAAGTTGGTCGTAAATTGAGATATATTTATGGTTGCTGGTAGAAGACCCGTCATGAAATGTCCTTTTCAAAAAACACCACATCATAATCGATTGACACGATACTCCCACATCATTTTTAGTTGTCTGGACTCTGAGAGGTCTCTGAGTTTGCTTCAACGTTTCTTCTTCGTAGAGTCAGACAGGAAATAACTATTTCATCTAGGAAAACTAAATATAACATTTTATTTCAATTACATTAAAACTTTTCATGCGCTACAAAAAGCTGTTCGTAACTTGTAGCGTTACTTCGTAGTAGTTCGTAGTCGCACAATTGTAGCTACGTAGCTCGTAGCCGCGTAGCCGCGGTCGTAGTACATCGTGCACTAGTAGGCTCGTAGCCAAGAGAGAAATTGCTTTCACACTTTCTAAATTACTGGTACGTAGCTTTCTGTGCCGATTGAAATCACTGCAAGAGCTAAAACAAATCTTACTACAACTTTACCTAATCCCATGTAAGGTATTTTTCACACTATTTTCACAGATGTTAACTTAACATAACAATTTAAAATTCAATCTTCAAACAGTCACATTATTTATAATTTAACAAAAGTTACCACATCAGAAACACAAGGTGACACGGTGCCAAGCCGAAACAGCGAAACATCCCAATTATATTTGGAGTCGTCCAAACTTAGCACTGTATATCCATGTGCAGGAAATCGTTGTTAGAGTTATTCATTTGACGTCTACGTCAAAGTTGACGTCGACGTGAGCTCTAGTTTCATGTTGCCGTGTTCCTTTTGGACCAGTTAATATTTGAGAATACCCTAATTAATGTTAAGAATTTGAAAATAGTTAATTTAAAGCATCCGTAA